GAACATTCAGGTCTCCCAATGTCCAACAAGGAGCTTGAGATATGGTCCATGTACTGACATACACTGAAGATGACGAAGACAGGTTACAATATTTGAAATAGGAGATAACAAACGGTATGTCTTAAGTAAGTAAATAATACATACTCTCACACCTTGATTTTAAGTTTTGCATACTGCATATTAAGACCTGAAGATATGGTCTATATGACAGATGGGAAACATGTAATAACTGCTGATACAGCACAATATCTGATGAAGACAGACAAATCATGTCATCTGTATGACCATACTTGTGATAAATGTTGGGTTGGGCCGTCACCATTCATGAATATTGGATTTCATACAAAGCCTTTCAAGCTGCAGGCTTGGTAACTGTTACTGAAATGTTATCGGATCTTTGACGGGCAAAGTTAGAGCTTGGGGTTGTCTGGGAACAAGTCTTGCTGCTGGGGAAAAGACATTTGTCTTCTGCCTTACTGCTTTCAATGCAATGTATCCTCCTGTATTGATTTGTCTTGTATACATGAACCTTAATAATCACTTTGAGTGATGGACAATTGGAGAATGGTTGTGGCACTCTAGTCTGACATCCCTCAGCTGGTCATTTCCATTATTCAGAGGTAAGTCAGGAAGGTTATAAAATAAGCCAGACCTCTGATTACAGTCAATGATCCAGGTCTCATGTATTCATCAATGATCCAGGTCTCTGATGTATCCAGCCAATGATCAAGGTCTCTGATGAATTCAGTTAATGATCAAGGTCTCTGATGAATTCAGTTAATGATCCATGTCTTTGACTTAATACATCAGATACCTTGATCATTGACTGGATACATCAATGATCCATGTCTCTGATATATTCAATGAATGATCCATGTCACAGATGTATTCAGTCACTGGTCCAGGTCTCTGATGTATTCAGTCAGTAACCCAGGTCTCTGATGTATTCAGGCAATGATCAAGGTCTCTGTTGTATCCAGTCAGTAACCCAGGTCTCTGATGTATTCAATCAATGATCCATGTCTCTGATATATTCAATGAATGATCCATGTCACAGATGTATTCAGTCAATGATCCTGGTCTCTGATGTATTCAGTCAGGAACCCAGGTCTCTGATGTATTCAGGCAATGATCAAGGTCTCTGTTGTATCCAGTCAGTAACCCAGGTCTCTGATGTATTCAGGCAATGATCAAGGTCTCTGTTGTATCCAGTCAATGATCCAAGGCTCTGATGTATTCAGTCAATGATCCAAGCCTCTGATGTATTCATCAATGATCCAGGTCTCTGATGTATTCATCAATAATCCAAGCCTCTGATGTATTCAGTCAATAATCCAGGTCTCTGATGTATTCGTCAATAATCCAGGTCTCTGATGTATTCAGTCAATGATCCAGGTCTCTGATGTATTCAGTCAGTAACACGGGTCTCTGTTGGATTCATCAATGATCCAGGTCTCTGATGTATTCAGTCAATGATCAAGGTCTCTGATGTATTCAGTCAATAATCCAGGCCTCTGATGTATTCAATCAATAATCCAGGTCTCTGATGTATTCATCAATGATCCAGGTCTCTGATGTATTCATCAATGATCAAGGTCTCTGATGTATTCATCAATGATCCAGGTCTCTGATGTATTCAGTCAATAATCCAGGCCTCTGATGTATTCAGTCAATAATCCAGGCCTCTGATGTATTCAGTCAATAATCCAGGCCTCTGATGTATTCAGTCAATAATCCAGGCCTCTGATGTATTCAGTCAATGATTCAAGCCTCTGATGTATCCAGTCAATGATCCAGGTCTCTGATGTATTCAGTCAATAATCCAGGCCTCTGATGTATCCTGTCAATGATCCAGGTCTCTGATGTATTCATCAATGATCAAGGTCTCTGATGTATTCATCAATGATCAAGGTCTCTGATGTATTCATCAATGATCAAGGTCTCTGATTTATTTAGTCAATAATCCAGGCCTCTGATGTATTCAGTCAATAATCCAGGCCTCTGATGTATTCAGTCAATAATCCAGGCCTCTGATGTATTCAGTCAATAATCCAGGTCTCTGATGTATTCAGTCAATAATCCAGGTCTCTGATGTATTCAGTCAATAATCCAGGCCTCTGATGTATTCAGTCAATGATCCAGGTCTCCAATATCTGAGTGAGTGAGTGAGTATGGTTTTACGCCGCTTTTAGCAATATTCCAGCAATATCACGGCGGGGGACACCAGAAATGGGCTTCACACATTGTACCCATGTCGGGAATCGAACCCGGGTCTTCGGCGTGACGAGCGAACGCTTTAACCACTAGGCTACCCGACCGCCCCCTCCAATATCTGAAAGTTCCCACCTATTGTGAAATTCTGCTCTGTAGTTTTCTTTCTCAGCATCCCATCTTCCACAGTATGGATGGCCTAGGTCCATGTTGTCAGTACACAGCATGTGTCATCATGGTATTTACATTGTGACTTTGACCACATCCTGTAATTTCGCACTATATTTACTCTAATTTATTCAAATTACAAACATGCCGCCCTGTGAGAACTTCTCCAAGTGCACAAAACATTGTGCACCAGTGCATGTGGTGGCGGTGCAGGAAGTCATCATAGTCTCATTAATAGAGTCATTATTACACTGATGAGGACACCATGACCCTAGTGTTCTATGTGTCCTCATACTGGACAGGCAACTGTTGAGTTGAGGACACCATGACCCTAGTGTTCTATGTGTCCACATACTGAACAGTCAAGTGTTGTGTTGAGGACACCATGACCCTAGTGTTCTATATGTCCTCATACTGATTCCCGACATGGGTACAATGTGTGAAGCCCATTTCTGGTGTCCCCCGCCGTGATATTGCTGGAATATTGCTAAAAGCGGCGTAAAACCATATTCACTCACTCCTCATACTGGACAGGCAACTGTTGTGTTGAGGACACCATGACCCTAGTGTTCTATATGTCCTCATACTGGACAGACAACTGTTGTGTTGAGGACACCATGACCCTAGTGTTCTATATGTCCTCATACTGGACAGGTAACTGTTGTGTTGAGGACACCATGACCCTAGTGTTCTATGTGTCCACATACTGGACAGGCAACTGTTGTGTTGAGGACACCATGACCCTAGTGTTCTATATGTCCTCATACTGGACAGGCAACTGTTGTGTTGACACCAATACACTAGTGACTTATATGTTCACATACTAGACAGACAACTGTTGTGTTGAGGACACCATGACCCTAGTGTTCTATATGTCCTCATACTGGACAGACAACTGTTGTGTTGAGGACACCATGGCCCTAGTGTTCTACACCTCATACTGGACAGGCAACTGTTGCGTTGAGGACATCATGACCCTTGTGTTCTATATGTCCTCATACTGGACAGGCAACTGTTGTCTTGACACCATGACCTTAGTGATCTATATGTCCTCATACTGGACAGGCAAATGTTGTGTTGAGGACATCATGACCCTAGTGTTCAATATATCCACATACTGGACAGGCAACTGTTGTGTTGAGGACACCATGACCCTAGTGTTCTATGTGTCCTCATACCGGACAGGCAACTGTTGCTTTGAAGACATCATGACCCTTGTGTTCTATGTGTCCTCATAGTGGACAGGCAACTGTTGTGTTGAGGAAACCATGACCCTAGTGTTCTATATGTCCTCATACTGGACAGGCAACTGTTGTGTTGAGGAAACCATGACCCTAGTGTTCTATGTGTCCTCATAGTGGACAGGCAACTGTTGGGTTAAGGACACCATGACCCTAGTGTTCTATGTGTCCTCATAGTGGACAGGCAACTGTTGTTTTGAGGACACCATGACCCTAGTGTTCTATGTGTCCACATACTGGACAGGCAACTGTTGTGTTGAGGACACCATGACTCTAGCGTTCTCTATTTCCTCATACTGGACAGGCAACTGTTGTGTTGAGGACACCATGACCCTAGTGTTCTATATTTCCTCATACTGGACAGGCAACTGTTGTGTTGACACCAATACACTAGTGACTTATATGTTCACATACTAGACAGACAACTGTTGTGTTGAGGACATCATGACCCTAGTGTTCCATGTGTCCTCATACTGGACAGGCAACTGTTGTGTTGAGGACATCATGGCCCTAGTGTTCTATATGTCCTCATACTGGACAGGCAACTGTTGTGTTGAGGACACCATGGCCCTAGTGTTCTATATGTCCTCATACTGGACAGACAACTGTTGTGTTGAAGACATCATGACCCTAGTGTTCTATATGTCCTCATACTGGACAGGTAACTGTTGTGTTGAGGACACCATGACCCTAGTGTTCTATGTGTCCACATACTGGACAGGCAACTGTTGTGTTGAGGACACCATGACCCTAGTGTTCTATATGTCCTCATACTGGACAGGCAACTGTTGTGTTGACACCAATACACTAGTGACTTATATGTTCACATACTAGACAGACAACTGTTGTGTTGAGGACATCATGACCCTAGTGTTCCATGTGTCCTCATACTGGACAGGCAACTGTTGTGTTGAGGACACCATGGCCCTTGTGTTCTATATGTCCTCATACTGGACAGGCAACTGTTGTGTTGAGGACACCATGACCCTAGTGTTCTATATGTCCTCATACTGGACAGGCAACTGTTGTGTTGAGGACACCATGACCCTAGTGTTCTATATGTCCTCATACTGGACAGGCAACTGTTGTGTTGAGGACACCATGACCCTAGTGTTCTATGTGTCCTCATACTGGACAGACAACTGTTGTGTTGAGGACACCATGACCCTAGTGTTCTATATGTCCTCATACTGGACAGGCAACTGTTGTGTTGAGGACACCATGACCCTAGTGTTCTATATGTCCACATACTGGACAGACACCTGTTGTGTTGAGGACACCATGACCCCAGTGTTCTATGTGTCCTCATACTGGACAGACAACTGTTGTGTTGAGGACACCATGACCCTAGTGTTCTATATTTCCTCATACTGGACCCACCTGTTCTATATGCCCTCGTCTCAGCTCCAGGACACCCAGGTTGTTATAAGCCTCAGCGTGGTCGTTGTTGCTAGCAAGGGCCATCCGGAAACTTTGATAGGCCAGGTTCATGTCACCGATACCCTGAAATATGCAAATAGTGAACTGTTTTTTTTCCATCTGGTGACATATGCCAACATAAGTCCCAAAGAATTCTATTGTACGACATCCTCTAATATGAACAAGCATGAAATACTCATATTCCCCGCTAATATGACACGTCCAGTTGTGTGCAAGGTAAGAAATAGTGTACAGTTCCAAGATCTGCTCCAGAAACAAGCTCTGCCTCCAGCGCATCAAAGTCAAAGTCTTTGCTGTGGAAACTCGAAAAAATTTTTTTTTTTAAATCCCAAACTGTCAAAAGGCACCAGTTCACCACTTGACCTATCTATGTGCCAAGTTTGGTTACGGTATCTCGCATGGTTATTGAGTTCTGCTCTGGAAACGAAACATGAAAGACAGAAGGACGGAAGGCAAATGGACAGCACCCATTCCTATATCCCCCTTCCACCTGTGGTGGGGGATAACAACCTTTCCCCGGGCTGCTGAACATCTGCTCCCTCAGAAGATGAAGCTTTTACACATTACCTAACTGCAGGGCAACAAAACAAAACACATTCCATGTCATGAACAAGTTTTAATTAATTTTTACCAAGTCCTGAAAACATTTATTCTCTTTCTAATGGCAAGAACAAATCTGTCCCCTGTGTGTTGCTGCACATATCGATGTCTCAGACTCCTACACCTTGTGGCTTCTGAAAGATTTCTCACAATTCAGCAATTATTACGATTACATTAGCGCTAAGATCGCATTGTACAACAGCACCTGTATACCAAAAATTAAGTGTTTCCTTAGTCACGTTAGTCAGGTGACCAGTGAAGATCCGGGGTAGAAATAGGTTTTCAGCAACCCTTTCTTGTCGTTAAAGGTGACTATGCTTGTCATAAGAGGCGACTAACGGGATCAGGTGGTCAGGCTCGCTGACTTGGTTGATGCATGTCATCGTTTTCCAAATGTGTGGATCGATGCTCATGATATCAATCACTGGATCGTCTGTCAGACTCGATTATTTACAGACTGCTGCCATATAGCTGGAATATTGCTGAGAGCGTTGTTAAACAACAAACAAACAAACAAACAAATGCAATGGTTGGACGGAATTGTATCCAAAGTTATTATTTTACCAGGAATTAGCATATTCTAATGTATTTTAGATACAGCTTCTGCTCACACATCATCATTTGAACATTACAAGAGCATTTCAATAACTTGTCTACAGAGAACATACACCAGTTGGCATGATTCTTACCGATACCTCACACAAATAATCACCTGGTGACAATCTGCTTGGACTCAGCTACAAAATCACATTAACTCCTTTGACTAGATTAGCAATCAGCTACTATATATAGATTATGATCCACATGATCTCCCATCCCCATGTTTGCATGTACCACTCTAAGTATATCCCTCTGCTACAGTTATCTATTGCAGGGAATCAATGTCAATGGCTTTTAGTCCGGCTGTAATGGCGGAAGATGAGTAGCAGTCATCGCCGATCTCGGTGTGTTGACAACAGGGATAAAGTCAAGACCTGCTGTCAGCCAATATATTACACCTCGTAATTAGACGTTATTGATCAGGGGTCAGGTTTCTGCCCTCTGGTCAATAGAGTTCAGGGTTGTTGATATCTTGTGTATTTCATTGCATGTCAATAACATGTATATTTCATGGGTTGTTGATAACGTATTATATGGCTTGATGATTGATTACATGTATATTTCATTGCAGACAATTACTTGTATATTTCATGGGTTGTAGAAAACATGTTAATTTTCATGTCATATATATCACAATGGAATTCCCTTCCAAATGTCATCAGGAAAAGTGACAATCTGAACTCATTCATGCACAACTCAAAACCTATCTGTGACACAAGCCTATGACTAAAAGCACTTTTGAGCACAAGTTTGGAACAGATACATAAATATCTAAATTATCATTATAATCATAATTTGATTCAAATATCAAAGTCATAATGTTATAACTATATACCTTTTGTGTGTTTGTTATTTAACGTAGCACTCAGTCATATTCTAGCTATATGACAGCGGTCTGTAAATAATCCAGTCTGGACCAGACAACTCAGTGTTTGATATCATTAGCATCGATCCACGCAATTGGTATACGATGACATGCATCAACCAAGTCAGCGAGCCTGACCACCCCATCCCGTTAGTTGCCTTTTACGAAAATCTTAGTTGCTTTTTAAGGCAAGCATGGGTTGCTGAAGACATACCAGCCCAGATCTTCATGGGTCCACTATACACCTAAAACATCACTAAAGACTTTTAAAATGATACCTGACAACATGTTTGACAATCAACAAGAACTTTTTCAAACACTTTCACAACTTTCTTGAACTAAACAGGCTTCACCAAGATGCATTTAATCAAAGTCTTTTTTCAAACACGAAATGAATATCAATTCCCAAAATCGGTGTTTGTTGAACTTTTCATTATTTCGATATAAACAGTTGATTATAATGACCTTTAAGTGCTTTCCCATATATTTCTTTAAATGCCACATTTGAACTTACACATATGGCTCAACAGATAGATACACCTTGATATAACTGGAATACTGTTCAAAGCAGCATTAAACCCATCTCACTCTCTCACTAATGGAGAGATTATTAGTCATTTCCCCAAAGTTATCAGCACCATTAGGTTAGACAAGACTTGTCCTAAAAAATTGTATCTGCTACAGAGTTGCATTGCATCAAATTGTAAAAGTGTTTTTTTCGTCCACGAGGAAATATCACTAGTTCTTCCTGAATTTTACAAGTCTCGGATTACCGGATTTATGCGATTAAATTTAAACCCTGATAATGCTCAAGTTATCCTTCATGAGAGCTGAAATTTCTTTCTGTTGATAGTTTAAGGAAGAGAATTTATGGATGTCAACTTCTTTATTATGAGGAAAACAATGTTTCGGAGCATATACTAACACCTTCATCCAGACATCCATAAATTCTCTTCCCTATGTGTATCACTTCTAAATGCCTTTCAAAGATTTGAATTAATTTTCACTTTGACCACTTAATTTCTCTTGATTTCCTTCCATTTGAGCACACAGGACATAACTTTCTATGTCCATGACACTCACAAGGATAGGTAGACACATATCTCAAATGTCGTAAATCATGTTTATTTCACAGAGGGTCGTGACAGGTCAAGACTGGTCAATAACCGTGGGATACGCCTCACAGCCCAATCACATTACCTGGAGTGTCAGATCAGCACCTGTAATAGACACTGTCAAGGCGGTTGATGTGTGAAATAGAGGAGGTGTAGTGTACACAAACACCACCCTAGCTGTGATATCTCACACTGTCAGGGGGAGATAGACCTGTTAATGATTGCTCAGTCATGATAGAGCATGGCGAGCAAACATCTCCACAACCCAGGAAGGTCTTGTCTCATAGCAAGATTAGCTATGACAATTTCAAGACACCCTAACACCCAGTTTGTAATATCTGGAAACACATAAACATTAGACTTGCACAAGTCTCTAAGGCAAAATATTAACTTAAATCATAATTTCATGATTATGTAAAAACAATGTAATAAGAACAAAAGCTTGCCACTAACGTGGCTATATCCCCCACCCCTGTTGCAGAATTTATGACATAATTAAATCTAAACAAACCCTAACCTTTTTTAACCAAGGTGGAACTTGTCATGGAAATTGTAAAAAAAGAAGAGTTTGAAACCCAAGTACATCTTGTTGCCATGGAAACGTAAAAAATAAAAATTTCTCAATAGCAAAAGGCACCAGTTCAGCATGTACCTGACAGACCTGAAAAGTTTCATGAAAAATTATTGAACGGTTTTTGAGTTATGCTCCAGAAATGAAACGTGATGGATGGACGGACGGACGGAGCCCGTTTCTGTATCCCCAGCCAACTTTGTTGGGCGGGGGATAACAAGTTGTCCCTCTCAGAGACTGGACTGTCCACATATCTAGACTTGCCTATTAGGAGGATAGAATTACTATACATCCATGGACTTATCTTTCAGTACAGCCTTGGTGCAAGGCTATATATACATGTTCAGAAAAATATACCAAATATTAATTTAAGAAATCAATATGTATTTTTTAAACATCTGTTAAACTAGAAAACAAATTAATCAGCCTCACTATTATTTTTTACAGATTCCAAATGTCTTACCAGTGCCACATGACCAATGTTGAACCAAATATCACCGAGAGTCTGGTCATCCGCCAATGAGAGCGCTCGCTCAAAACATGTGAGTGTCATGTCATATTGCTGAGCATAGAAACAGCACAGGCCGAGGTTGTTGTACAGTTCTGCGTTGAATACTCCCATCTGAAGTAAACGTCTGAAAACAAACAGTTAGATTTAAGTAACATGAAACATTATCAGCGGTAGAATCTAACAGTTTCCGTTCACTAGTGAGGTGAGGTGAAGATTATTGCACTTATATAGCGACGTGCATGTACGTGTGTGTGTGTGTCTGCTTGTACTAGTTCGGACTGATGCCGATTTATAGTGCTAGCTCACTGAGATACCATGCCGCAGTTTAACATGAATACCCCACTCAGACACAGTATACTGACTCCGAGCCGACTAGTCCTTGTTTTAGCCCTTTAATGCCGAGCGCCAGACAGGGTAACAACAAGTACCATCTTTTAATGTCTGTTGGTATGATGCGGCTGGGGATCGAACCCCGAACCTTCCGCTCTCCGGGAGGACGCTCTACCACTAGACCACAGAGGCGGTCTTAGTCCACTAGTCCTTATAATGATAACATATAAGCAAAACCCTTAAAAATGCCAAATTTCTACTAGTCCTTATGATACCTTAACTATTGGGCAATTTGGCAAGGACAACAGGACTAGTGCCAATTTCTAACACTGATTCTCGGCATATGTCAGAGGGGAGTAAAGGAGCTAGGCTCAGGGAATACGGTACAGAGATACATAATGATGACGATTCATAAAGTGTTTTTTGTTTACTGAAGGTGCAAATGTTCCAATCTGAGGTTATTTAAGAATTGACCTTCACTTTGTGTGAGTTCATTGGAGTATGAACCTTCATAGAGTGATGGCCAAACTGTATGAACGTCGGAGCTTGGCAGCCTGAGACACGGATCGAGTCGTTACTATGATAGTTTGGAAGTGCATTTCTTCATTTGTTCATTTGGAGGGGTCGTAGCAAGGATATTCATGAACAATCATGCAGTCAAACTCTCTGACGTTTCTCAGTGTATACTGAAATGCTGAGTTGAAGATTAAAGGATCTAAATGTTCAGAAAGAATAAAGTATTTATTCGTGCTAGAGAATTCCCAGGGGTTTCCCCAGGAATGTGGAAGTAGTGTGTCAGTGTTTACTTCATTTCAAGAACACGGTCTCTTGAAAAACGTATGGACATCATACACTTATGAACAACAATTTCCCCTGACTAGCTTCTAGACCAATCTGTACATAATCTTTATAAGCGCCCAGTACAAAAGCCAAAAATCTATGTGACAGTGTGTATTTTCTTGAGTATATTATAGTTTTTTACAGAAAACAGAAGGGTATAAAAATGCCCAGTAACTATTATATTTTACTTTCGTCGATGTTTGAACTTAGCTTGTTTACTTCCACTCAATCTTGGAATAAAAATATAAAAATTTAACTCATTAATGGTATTTAATAAGCGCCAATGTTTGTACATTTTCTACATACCAATATAGTTTATTACAGCGAATATGGTACCAATATTTTCATTTATTCTAGTCTCTGGGTATACTTTACTGCTGCTTATTAAACTGTTTTTCAAGTTATAATTAGTTAAAAAAACTAGTTTTAATATTTCCCTTTATTGATTTTACACACCAGATAGTAAATATAGAACTCATATACTTGTGACAGTACAAAAGAAATATTATCTTCTTTAGTTCTTTACCATCAAACACAGAACGCCTCGTTTAATTGCCCTATTATCTCCTTCAAATGTCATAGTCACTGAAATATTTACCACACAACTATATCTAGCAACATGATCCTGTCACCCTCAGGCGGATCTACTTAAAACAGATATAATTTTCTATACACGACATGTCAGACCGACATAAATACGACCAATTTTCTTTAACTTTTGCCCTTTATTCATAGAGACGTGAACATATTTACATTGTCAGCTGATATGCATAAAAACATTTATATCCCGATCAGGAGATAATAGCACTGGATCCTCAATCCCTCTGTCAATCTATACTATTATCCCTACAACTGATCTTAATGCCAGGAATCTCTACAGTGTATTGATCAGAGTTATGTAATGTCTGCACGACATGCTATTTCCCTTTAAACTAGTATGCATGCTCAGAGATAAACAGAAAGGATCTTATCGATTAATAATAATGTTCGTCTGGGATGAAAGCCGTCTCCTCACGACTCCTTTTGGTGTTCCTGATGACAGAAATGGCGCCATCGATCACCCATGATGCAACAGTCTATCCGGTCATTATGGTCACACATGTTCGGTGGATTGAGTCTCGCGTTGGCCAAGATGTGAAGTGTGGTTACATCATGGGGATCAATGACCCTTTCTCTTCCATGATTAGACTGAGATTGATGATGATTGGAATCAGGATCAGATTTTGAGAAGCACAATAAACCTGTCACCTGGGAGTGAGTGACTTGGGTTTAACGCCGCTTTTAACAGTAATCCAGTTATATCACGGTGTGTCAGCGGTGTGGGAGGAAAGCCCGAAGTGATGCAGGTCTCAGATGTTTACCCCTTCGGTGATACCTACGAGCATGGGTGTGGTGCTGACAAACCTAGAAACATAACTGGGCGAACCAGGATTCGAACCCACAATCAATAGGTTTCTGGCATGCCCAAGGGACACAACTCTGCACAGCAAATTGCGGTGCCTTAGACAACTGGGCCAACCGTGCCCCCCCGCCATCACCTGTGACGGCTTTGTTCATTAACCCTTCATAGTCCTTGGCCATGGAGAACATAAAAGCTGAACCAACCAGAAGACAAAATTCACCAATAACACTAAATCAGGGTTAGAAATAACTGTTATTTTCACGATCTGCTACAGAGCGGTCATCTTTCTATGTGGACATTCCTCAGTGCTAATGGTCTCACACAATCACACCTGTGTTTATTTAAAAATCCTCCCAAACTGAAGTATATGTATATGTTACACATCTGATATTTTGTTTTGTTTTGTTTTGTTTGTTGTCTAACGGCGCAGTCAGCAATATTCCATTTATATGACAGCAGTCTGTAAATAATTCAGTCTGGAACAGACAATCCAGTGATTGGCATCATGAGCATCGATTCACATCATTGGGATACGATGACATGCATCAACCAAGTCAGCGACCACGACAAGCATAGTCCCCTTTTACAGCAAGCATGGGTTGCTGAAGACCTATTCTACCTTGGATCTTCACGAGTCGTCATCTGATACCTGAATATATCTCCCCACCCAACAAGTGGTTAGTCCTGCATCAGCGACATTATGTTTGTTGTTTGATGCCACACTCAGCATTATTCCAGCCCATGTTGGTCTGTAAATAATCAAGTCTGTCAAAAATTCCCGAATATACGTATGATGAATATACAAAGACATATGAGGAATAGTGAAAGTTTTTACCCACATTATCGTTGCTTGAAAACGTAAAAATAAGGAAAATGTCCAAAGTCCTGATTAACAAAAGGTGCTTGTTCAACAAAGCAAACATACAGCTAAGGTGATCCTAACTCCCATACTTTAACATAGACTTATGACAGTCTTAGCGCTAAGGTGATCCTAACTCCCATACTTTAACATAGACTTATGACAGTCTTAGCGCTAAGGTCGCTTTGTAGAATGGGACCCTGTACTTGGTTGGAGTGTACACAAACTTACAAAGAAATATTGAACATGTTGAAAAACGTTGAAATTACTGCCATGTGTAAAATTGAAAATGAAAAATTGAGTTACCAGACTACTGAGATTGCCAATTGGCCTCGTTTCCAACCATGGCCGTCCAGTCTATTACTATTAAATATTTATTAGAAACAACATACCGTATCTCACTTTATGTGATACATTAGTAGATACATAAACAACCTAAAATCCTATAAATTCGTTAACAGTACTTAGCCCTTGTTATGTTGAAACTAGAAAGGAAGTCTGTCAGGATCGATTGTTGTAACCTATCCCATTGCAAGCGGCCTTGAGACTTCCTGGTTTCCGAGATCACAAGAGACAAGGGTCATCCATCATCTGTCTAACATCACCATCAGCAGCAAGAAACTCCCATGACAACACGCACACCACCAGCAAAACAAGTTACAAGTTGTTAGATAATATAATGAATTGTCAAAAATAACAAATCCTGTCCTGTGTTTGATGTGGGAGTCTTTCTCAAGGGCAATGTCTCCGCATTAAATACAGACAGAAAACAGCCACTGTGAACCTTGTAAGCTCAGGCGACATCAAAGATGTAGCATTGCTCTAAGTCTGTGACGATACAGTTGACATATGCCAGGGAGTCATCTTCCCCAGGCAAGGGAGTTAATTAACTGTGAAAGTCCAGTTTCCACCCTTGCCGAACTAGGCTGGAATTTCTGGGCTCGATCATAGCGCTACAAGTGGCTATTACGAGTTATGTCCCTTCGCCCAGTGATGATGATCTGATCGATAATCAAGATCTATGTTGTGATAAAACAGGTCTTACTGCATCAAATCATGTGAGTACCTTGATTAAAAACATGAAAAGATTTGGAAAATATCAGTTGATGCTAAGTTGCCGGTACACAGGCTTTGCAAATCCTGTAATCATCAGTTTACAAACCTGATGTCGATATAGTTACACGATTTTGATTGGACTGGGCATGGACTCGTTAGTCCAGCCAAATTGAAACTCCATAATTCCAGCCTGGTTCGGCAAGGGTGGAAACTGGACTTATGTAACGCCCTTTCCTCAGGAAGATGGGGAGTTGTCCGAAGGAAATGTGAAAGACGAGTGTGTTAAGTGGATGTGTGGGGCAGAACATTTCCATGTCAACACCTGCCAGTAAAGTTCAGCATCAGCAGCCCCAAGCAAGGGACGAGCACCAAGAACACCTATACATCTACCATTCATGTCAATGGGGTACAATCAACAAGGTCACTTAGGCTGACCACCCAATTCATTTAGTCGTGAGACCCATGAAGATCCGTGTAGAATAGGTCTTCAGCAACCCAGGCTTGCCGTAAAAGGCGACTATGCTTGTCGTGAGAGGGGACTAACGGGATCGGGTGGTCAGGCTCGCTGGCTGGTTGATGCATGTCAACGTATCCTAATTGCGTGGATCGATGCTTATAATGTCAATCACCGGATTGT